CTTGATGTTGGTACTAACAATCAAAAGCTACTTGAAGACCCGCTTTGTGAGTAAAATGTGTACTTAATTGCTTTGTTCTTAAGAAGTTGTTACATTTGCAGAGCGGACCATATAATATGCTTGCATGTGACTTTGTTTATTGAGAGGTTGTGAGGATTTCTTTTGAGATGTTCTTTTTGGCTTGACAGATTTGGGACTTAGACAACCTAGGTTGGAAGGGGAAGAATATCTGTCAATTGTTGATGAATTCATGGAAGCAGTTTTTACACGTTGGCCTAAGGCTATTGTACAGGTTTATTTCTCTCTGAAGTGAGACTTTTGTGTTATGCTTGGTTGATATCATTTTGTTTATTTGATGGTTACATCATTCAGTTTGAGGATTTTCAAATGAAGTGGGCCTTTGAAACTCTGGAACGCTATCGGAAAAAGTTTTGCATGTTTAATGATGACATACAGGTGAGCACTGGTGTGCAATTTACTTCTTTTATGGACTAGAGGAGTGTGGTGTAATGCGGATTGCTGTGGAATTACTATGAATGCCTCCACAATTAGAATGTTGTGCTTATTTAATGTCTCTTAGGGAACTGCTGGAGTTGCACTTGCTGGATTGTTAGGAACTGTAAGAGCACAAGGTCGATCATTGGCTGACTTTGCAAACCAAAAGATAGTTGTGGTGGGAGCTGGGAGGTACTTGACTAACTTATAGACAAGTGTGTTTGCCTTCTGCTTTACACCATAATTTTTCTGCTGTTTTGTTGTGCACATTCCCTCATGGCTTTATTGCTCATATCCACCTTTCTTTCTGTCTTCCAGTGCAGGGCTTGGTGTTCTTAGCATGGCTGTGCAAGCTGCTGCGAGGATGACAGGAAAAAGTGAAACAGCTGCATCCAACTTTTTCCTACTTGATAAAGATGTATGGTTTTATAGTTCCACTCTAGTACTCTTCATCCTATCTGTGCAAAGCCTTTTCTGTTTTTAGAGATACGTAATATATACTTATGCTTGTGTAATGTTAAAATGGGGCTTGCATGAACATGTGAAAAGGTTTACTAGAAAAGTGATCAAGGTTTTTTATTTTAATTTGTGACTCTGAGCAGTAAATTTTACTTTGGCACTCTAAATGCTCTTGTTTTAGCTGTATGTCAATGGACCATCTCGTAAATTTTCTTTCCTTGGTGAAGGATTTCAACCTCCACTTGGTGGGTAAATACTTAGTTTTCTATTGTTTGTTGTTGGTTAAGGGTCTCATCACTAAAGAGAGGAAGAATCTTGATCCAGCAGCCGCATCATTTGCTAAAGATCCAGGACAGATAGTGGGACTTAGAGAGGGGGCTTCTCTGCTTGAAGTGGTAAGTGCCTGGCTGGTATTATATGGAATTGTGTGTCAAGAAGAAAAGCATTCACTGCAGACTTGGCAGTCTTGTTTGACAAAAGAGTTGATGCTATACCACACTTTTATAAGTTTAGTTTTCTACTAGTTATAGATGCTCTTCACCTATATAATAATCTAATTTCTGAGAACCAAATTTTATTCAGGTTAAAAAGGTTAAGCCCGATGTGCTTCTTGGTTTGTCTGGAGTTGGTGGCGTGTTCAATGAAGAGGTGGAAGTTTATTTATGTATTTGTTTCTGTAACTCTCTCTTATATGTTTTGTTGATAACCTTTATTTCTTGTTCAAGGGAATTTATGCTTATTTTCTGTTCCTAATTACTTCTTGAATTCTTCACTGTGTTGAGTTCCTCACTACTCTGTTGGCACTAAAAACAGGTGCTCAAGGCCATGCGTGAATCTGATTCAAGCAAACCTGCTATTTTTGCGATGTCAAATCCCACCATGAATGGTTTGTTCTTGCTGCCCTGTCATGCATTTGGATTTTCCTTATGGAAGCTAGAGATTTTGTGTTGACATTCTGTTTGCATTCTGACTGAACAGCTGAATGCACTGCTGCTGATGCTTTTAAGCATGCTGGAGAAAATATAGTCTTTGCCAGTGGAAGCCCTTTTGAAAATGTCAATCTTGGTATCTTCCATTCTAATTGAAGTTCATTTTGTTTGAAACATTTTGCATCATACAATTACAAGCATTTGCTGCTTCTTTAAGGGAGCTGTTGCTGCCTATGTTGTGGTCCATGAATCTAGGTTTTTCAGTCGATGGTTATCACATCTTAAGTAATCATTTACTTGCTGATAGGTAATGGAAAAGTGGGCCATGTAAATCAAGCAAATAACATGTACCTGTTCCCTGGGTTGGTGCTATTTTTCTTGTTAATTTTTGTTGTTTAATTGACCATGCTTATATCTTAACTTTGATTTAACTATTGTTGCTTTTCATCCAGGATTGGTTTGGGAGCTTTGCTCTCAGGTGCTCGTTTTATAACTGATGGAATGTTGCAAGCTGCTGCTGAATGGTATAAATATGATTATATAGTTGCTTCTATTCCTGTTCTCTCTTTCTCTCTCTTAATAATGCTTGAAGTTTAGAATTCACAGTGAAGAATGCTTGGAAATCTCCTATTTAATATTTGTAATATCCAGCCGACTGTTACAGAACTTAATGCAGAATTCTGAATCTCTTATTCTAGTTGATAAACGGTAAAGCTGACTACAAAGGAACTTTAGTTTCTTAGTGATGCAATATCAGAGCCCCAAAATGAGAATATGTTAGTCTAGGCTTTTGTTCCCCCATGCTATTATGCATTCTTTAGGTTTCTGTTTCCGTAAATTCTAGTGTTACACCTTGGTTATGATAACATGTTTGCAGTTCATGAAAGTATGCACTCAAGGTATCTTATATGCGTTAGACTGCATGGCCTAATTCTTGTGTTGATTCTTATTTCAATAAATAAAGCTGTATCCGTGAACTCCATCAATGTATGATTTTAATATATAAAATGCTAATTGATTAAATTAGTGTACTAATCAGTTGTGGTTGTGTATATATTTATAGGAATAAGCATTTTTGTCGGCTGCATGATTGACTATATAATAATTGAAATTCGTTAATAGCCAGTTTGGTTTCCATTTCGTCATTTTCCTTTTTGCCATTGGAAACATGGATGAAAGTTCCATTTAATTCCAGAAGTTGTGAATGTGATGCTATCCTTGCAGCCTTGCATCTTATATGACTGATGAGGAAATTCAGAGGGGCATCTTGTATCCATCTATCAAAAGGTAATATTCTCTGCTTTCACAGGTGACTCTTTTCCTTTTGTTGACAGTGGTGAAAATTATTGGTTCTGTTCTTTCTTCACATTCTCAAAATTTTCAATGGAGACCCAGTTTTTTCAAATGCTTAAAACTTTAATGGTTTAGCGGATATGCTAATGCTATCAATAGATCATTTGCCTGTCACAACGTTACTTTAAGTAGACAGGTTTTTATCTCACCAGTACATGATCATTGGGGGGAATGTATGGTTTTGGCGTCCCAGTTATAAAACTATTCCAACACTTTTTTTAATGCTTTGCTTCACCATCAAGTTCATTCTGCGTGTGCACCATGCAGTATTCGACATATCACAGCAGAGGTTGGAGCATCTGTCCTGCGAGCTGCTGTTGCAGAGGAACTGGCAGAAGGGCATGGAGATGTGGGTCCCCGAGACCTGGCGCACATGTCAAAAGTATGAAACTTCTTTCACGTTTCTTTTTCTTTATGTCCCCCGGTGGTAAACTGGACTTGCACATTGATTATGATGAATTGTAATGCAAAGGAGTGTCTAATACTGTTAAGTTAGCCATAAATCCGACCTTAAATCTGCTAACAGGCAAGCTGGGGTGCTTATCACGGTTCACATGGTTTGTCTAGGATGCCATTTGCTTGGTTTCTCCCTTAGAAATGGGTTTCTTATTATTATTATTATTATTATTATTTATTTTTTGGCTTTGGTTTTTCACTTATGGGTGCAGGAGGAGACGGTGGAATACGTGTTTCGAAATATGTGGTTTCCTATTTACAGCCCACTTGTTCATGAGAAGTAGGCTCAGAATTCTTTTTTCCACGATTTGGATGGAGGCAATTTCTATGAGGACTGCTGCCTCAAGTTGAGCAGCCTTAGGGGAATGAGCCTGTTCGCTAACTTTGCTTTAGTACTAGTACTGAATTAACTTTATATTTTTCAATTCTCAATGTTTATCAAGGGTTCAAAACCCATTAAAATCTCCATATTCAGCAAATAATTATCCGCAATTCTTCTTCATCAACTGCTTCGTTTTAATGAGCTTATCAAGAAAACTGCTACGTCATAACAATATCACTAGGCCCTCTACGAGTCCAAAAATCCCTCTTTCCTCGTGATTTCTCTGCCATTGCAACAATGTCCTATCGAATCAAACTTCTTTCCATTTAATGAGAGCATTGACTTCTTGAGTTTGATGTCCCAATGAATATGGATCAAGAATGGGTTTTTCTCCAAGGTGGTTTTTATGGCAGAAAAATACAGAAAAATGTGTTAGGTGAGGTTCTTGGATGTGAGATCAGGAAGGTACAGTAATATTAGTATAATAATAATAATAATAATAAGTTTTTAAATCTCCATGGTCCAAGTGACCGAGAAAGGTTAATAATGACAAAATTAAGTAAAAAAAAAATACAGAAAAATGTGTTAGGTGAGGTTCGTGGACATATTCACATGTCAATTCTTTTTCTCCGCTTAATAATTACTAAACAATGATGCTAATGCAGTGGGTTTGATCTGAAATCTAGCAGCCGAAGAAAACTGTGTTGTTGATTACATTTCATGGGGACGCTTATTTGTTTTGATTTTGATGCAGAATATGCTGTCCAATCCATCGCTTGCAAGATAATCTGCAGAGAAATATGAAATCCCACAATCATCCATCTTACCTCGACAAAATGAAAAAAGGGTCATGGATAATGCAGTTTTCTCTTTCAGTATAATTTTTTTTTTTGCTTATTCAGAGAAAATATTCAATTAATCATCCCAGCAAAGAGAACCTGAAAGAATCCAAAAAAACAAAAAGATAAAGAAAGATTAGCGTTTGTCCGTTAATACAGAACCAAAATACCTTGACATCGTATACTAAATATAAACTAACAGCACAAACTTCGACTATCAGACATGAAAACTAATTCAAAGATTAGCCGCTTCAAACAATCAGAACAATAATCATGAGCACAAAACACAATTCAACCTAGAACCTCTATTGACATTTAGTGAGGAAGCGGGACAAAACAGAAAATCCAAACCAGCTTCATGTGAGGAGAAGGACAGGCAGTAAAAGCAACAGAAGAAAACAGAGACAAATTACCACCAGGCAGCGAATATAGACTCTTTTATCAACTCCATATTTCGCAAGAGAATCAGCAAAGGAGTTTCCTTCTCTAAGAGTGTGTTGGAAAGAGACTTCCTTGAGCTGCAAAATAAGAGAATCAATATCATTAAAAAGCATCCATTTATCCCGAGGTCTCTTGCCAGGATGGAGAATCCAGAAAAGGGTAGCTTTTGAATCGGACTCAATGAGAAAGCTTGTTTGTGGTTGCAAAAGGGGATAGGGAAAATGGGTGGAGAGCATGCTTGATTGCCATAATTTCGGCAAAATTAGAATCCTGAACTCCAAGGGGGCCAAATAACACCCCCCCAAGAAATCCCTCTTGAGTCTCGAAGAGCCCCTCCACATCCTGCTGGCCCCAGTTTTCCTCTGGCAGAACAGTCAACATTAAATTTCAAAGTCCCTTCTGGCGGTGGGCACCATTGAATGTTTAGGCGGCGGTGGAGAGGGGTGCGATGAACCCCTACTTCCCATGGGGTTGTCCTCCATCTTGTGCAATCGTTGCTTAACTGCTTTAGCTACCCCATTTTTTTTTTCCTTTTTTGACCTTCTGCTACACTGCTTTTAAAACCCTGAGAAAACTTACCCTGCTTCCCTGTCCGAATAGAATGGCTGAAGGCGACCGGTCAGCCTTTCTTGCAGTCAAAAGGTGCCTTGTGCTTTCATGGTTGCTTTGGTATTCCCTGTCCTACTTTTTAACCTCATTCCTTTTTTCCCTGTCTTCTAGGCATGCAGTTGTAACAGGAGCAAACAAGGGAATTGGTTTTGAGCTATGCAGGAACCTGGCGTCAAAAGGGGTCATGGTAGTTTTGACTTCTAGAGATGAGAAAAGGGGACTTGAAGCTGTTGCAAAATTGAAAGATTCTGGCCTGTCTGCTCATGTAGTATGTCATCAACTTGATGTAGCAGATCCTTCTAGTATTGCTTCCCTTGCAGAGTTTGTCAAAGCTAAATTTGGGAAACTTGATATCTTGGTACCATTGATGATCCATTTCTTCAAAATATCGGCTTTACATTTCAATGATGAAAACCTAGTCATTTCTCTTTTTTATCTAATTAGTTGCTTGGTTTGATCATAGTTTGTCGGAGCCATTTGCAGGTTAACAATGCTGGGATTTTTGGAGCGATTCTAGATCCACACGCTTTTGCCACTGCTACTGAACTTGCTGGTTACTTTGTAAGTGTCCTGCATTTCTGTTAATAGTAATTAATGATTGTTACTCTTAAATAGTTCTATGTTATAATTAAATTATTATTCTATTTCATGAGTTTGTTATCTTATTATAACTAAATTCCAAAACTTTGTTCTGGAATAGCGTACACATTACTGAGTTGGGAAAGGAGAATAGATGATAAATAGAGCGTATAATTTCTTTATGGCCGTGTAGTTATGAGAATTTTTAGCTAGTAAACAAAGGGATTATTTAAATTTTTTTCTTATCATGCAGCCAACTGAAGAGCAAGCCAAAGAGTATGAGATTGCAACTCAAACTTTTGAGTTGGCAGAAGAATGCTTGAAAACCAACTACTATGGTGCAAGAAGAATGGTTGAAGCATTTGTTCCCCTTCTCCAGTTATCTGACTCAGCGAGAATTGTCAATGTTTCCTCTATTATGGGGTTATTGAAGGTACATGATCCTGATAAACTAATTTAATGCAAAGATGAAATGCAGTTCGAACTTGAAACTGGTTGCAGTCCATCATTTACTTTTGAGTTCCCTTGGTTTCATACCATTAGATCAAACTATATAATTCTTAGGAGGTTTGGCAAAAGTTTTATCTCTCATCTCTCATCTCTCATGTGTTTTTTTTTTTTTTTCCAGAATATACCCCGGCAGTCAGTGGGCTAAGGAAGGATTAAGTGATGTCGAAAGTCTTACAGAGGATCGAGTGGATGAAGTTTTGAAGCAGTTTCTTAGAGATTTTAAAGAAGGATCGTTAAAAGCTAAAGGTTGGCCTACTTATTTCTCTGCCTATACACTCTCTAAAGCAGCAATGAATGCCTACACAAGGATTGTCGCCAAGAAGTACTCAAGTTTCCTTGTTAATTCCATTGGCCCAGGCTTTGTGAAAACTGATATAACCTGCAATATTGGGGTCCTAACAGCTGCTGAAGGAGCTGAAAATGTTGCCAGGCTAGCACTGCTGCCAAATGATGGGCCTTCAGGCCTTCTTTTCATCAGGAAGGAAGTCTCATGTTTTTGAACACTATGATTCCTTCCAATCTTGTAGAAGAAGATGAAATCTACAGTTAGCTTTTTTAGTCATCGAGATTCATGTTTTATGGCATAAAAACCTTAATAATTCTGGAAATAAAAGGGTTTTGTAGTTTATATATTTTTGACAAAAACGGAGTCTGCAATGCATGGCATGCACGAAACTTTAGCATGAATGCCCTGCTGAGCTGCTCAATAAGGATGGAATAGCCTTTCCCCCCCAACCAAACATGCCATAAAAGCTAGAGTACATTATTTTGAAAGGGGCTGACGACTGATTAAACCTTTTTGTAGTTACTCGGCTGAATCCTTCACTTGTGCTCATCACCTTTGACACCTTTAATTAATCTATTTTGTCAATATCAGTCTTAGCCTAACTAGTTCCTTGATCATTTGGAATATGGGCATGGCCAACAAGACGATAAACCTTAGGACAATTATGTCTCGAATTCAGTGCCTACGCAAAAGCTTAAGTCCAAGATTTACAAAAGTTGCAGAGCCAACTGTCCGATGTTTCTCGTACTACTGCCGTCCAAGAAATGAAACTGCGGAAGCATCAACAGAAAAAACAAAAGGGAAACTTGTGTATATGACTTAATGCAGGCCAACATCGAGTAGAGTAGATTTTGGGTACTGTCCTACAATGACATGGAAATTGCATTTCAAATTGAACTTATTGATTTATCTGAAGAATTTTCTTCCTCAGCCAATTATGTTTTTGTTCCTTCTCATTTGCTGCGTTGACTGGGTCAACATTAGCAGCATCCACGATCTTGCTACGGCTCTCCACTCTTCAGTCGGTCTTTGCTTGTTACCCAAGTTAGGATATGCTACAGTGACTGCTCTGACTATTCTTTGTTTATTGTGATCACACGTTTTTCTGGCGGTGCCCTTTCCTAGTTGTTTATAAAGCACCACCTCATACAGGATCTCTCACTTTCGCATTCCTCAGAATTCCCGAGATAGAGAATAAGAAGAATGGCAGAAACATGCGACTTTCTTGCAACAAAGAGGTAATTAACCCTGTGATTTAAATGCTTCTTTCTTTACACGTCTTAGCATACTTCTTTTTTCCCCTTTTTTCAGGTATGCAGTGGTGACAGGAGCAAACAAGGGAATTGGATTGGAAATATGTAGGCAGTTGGCTTCAAAAGGAGTCATGGTGGTGTTGACTGCCAGGGACGAGAACAGGGGCCTTGAAGCTGTTGAGAAGTTGAAGGAGTCTGGTGTGTCTGATAATGTGGTTTTCCACCAGCTTGATGTGACAGACCCTGTTAGCATTGCTTCACTCGCAGATTTCATCGGGACCCAATTCGGAAAACTTGATATCTTGGTATAAGTCGTCACCTGTTTTCTTTTCTAAACATTGGTTTAACATTACAAAACCAAAAGAAGCAAGTAATATTATGAGAATGATGGAATCTCGTGCAGGTCAACAATGCAGCGATTGCTGGAGTCATTATGAACTATGACAGTTTCGCCAGAGCTGTTGAACGTTTTGGGGATTGGGTAAGTCTTCCTTTCCATCTGTATCACCACTTCACCTTGTCTTCAGCTCATTTTTGGAGTTCAAATTAAGACCTAAATGGAAGTATATGTTAGCATGATTGGTCATACAGATTGAAGTTTAAATCTTGTTTAAGACTGATGAAAGATCAAGCAGAATTTATATTCCAAATTCATGGGAATGTTTTTCCATCCAAACTTGCTTCAAGTTACTGCCTTATACTAGAATTAGATACCAGTATATACCTCAGAATTTGCTCTATTTTTTATTTTAAATAATGAAACAGAGCTTTACTTCAATGGAATTTTATCTTTTAACAATCTTCTTACTCAAAGGAATTACTAACAAAATCAAAGTCCTTTCTGGATGCAGCCAGCTGGGGATCAAGTCTGGAAAGAGATTATTACTTCACAAACTTATGAGCTTGCAGAAGAGTGCCTGAAAACGAACTATTATGGTATGAAAAGAATGGTTGAGGCACTTGCTCCTTTCCTCCAGCTATCTGATTCCGTAAGGATTGTAAACGTTACCTCATATCTCGGAGTACTGCAGGTACAGAACCTTGAAAAGTAAAAGTTTTAGTATCTTGGAGAGACAATGGATCTAGTTTGAAAACCGTCTGTGTCTTTGTCTTGGTCTTGAAATGTAGGTTGTCCTACAAAAAGTACTAAAGTAGATGACTTAAAGCTGAAAATGGATAAAACACAGTGACATCCCATTCTGCCGCTGTTCTTTCCATTTTCATCAAAACTCTGTTTCAGCATTGCTATGCTAATTGTCTTAGCTCCAAACATTTATAAATGATCACCTGTTTTGACTTTTGAGCATAAGTTTTCATTTTTTTTCTTTTTGTCTTGTTGGTTCAGCTTATGTCCAATGAATGGGTCAAGGGAGTGTTGAACGATGTCGAAAGCCTCACAGAAGAAAGAGTTGAAGAAGTTTTGAACGAGTTTCTAAAAGATTTCAAAGAGGGAAGGATGAAATCCAATGGTTGGCCAACTTATATCGGACTAACTGCTTATTCTGTCTCAAAAGCAGCTCTGAACGCATACACAAGGGTGCTGGCCAAGAAGTACCCTAGTTTCTGGGTCAGTTGTGTTGCCCCAGGCTTTGCCAAAACGGATATAACTGGCGGTACTGGCTACTTAACTGCTGCAGAAGGAGCGCAGAATGTAGTGAGATTGGCGTTGCTGCCTACTGCTAGGTCTTCAGGGCTTTTCTTCAATCGTCAAGAAGTTTCAGATTTTTGAAGGAAAATGATCCATTATGACTTTGGTGAGGATAAAAACAACACTTCGCCATGTGCCACTTTCACGGTGCTTCTTTTCTATATTTGCACAATAAAAATGAAGAAAAAATTATCTATCTCAAATGTTTTAACTGTCAATAGGTTTTTGGCCTTGGCAGCCCACGCCCAAGACATGAAAAAGACAGCGAAAATGTTCTTGTTTCTCCATACAGTTCTACAGTTCTAAATTGCAGATCCTAATAACATAGAATGGATAGCTAAATCTACTTTGTTGGTAAAAAAAATGGAGTTCTCAAACGTTTAATATATTTTTGTTAGAATTTATGGAGATGAAGACATGCAGTTCATGAAGAACTGGTTTAATGCAGAAAACAAAAGAGCAGCAGTAAAACCAGAGAGAAAATTGAACTAAGAACTACAATACTTTTTCATTAATTGAAACATTAATACGAGCTGAAAATTAAAAAACAATTTACAAGTAAACAGTATTTTTGACACTGCATTACAATATCTCAATTCAGAATGTAAATATCAACTCTAAACATGCCTTCAGGGAATTCTGACATGGACAAACACAGTAAGCAAACTGTCAAACACAAAACTACAAGATGTGATCATTCTAGCTGGCATGTGACACTGCATACTGGGTCTTTAATGCAAGCTTTAATTCAACAATTTTTAATAAACTATGATAGATATGTTTGAGAGTCCTCGGCTTTGCTTTGATTAGAGAAGTGAAGGGGTAAAAGTCTAATGAAATATTAGTATCCCTCAGCCAACTCTGAATCAAACGGCTGAAGCAAAAGCACAAGAAACATGAAGTCGTCATGTCCCTTTCTTGGGGTCCACACTTTCCATATGGCGGAGAAAATTAAAGAAAAATACAACCTTTAATAGAAGCCGAAGCAACCCAAGGTAGTGTCTCTTTGTTCCGTATCAACTGAAGCAATTCCTTCATCATGGCGGAGTCCTTTCAAAGGTAGATTTTTCTTTCATGGTGATTTTGTATTAATCAAACAGTTAGGTTCAAAGCTATAACACCGTTTTGCTTTTGTTATGTTTTGTGTTTTTTTTTCCCCTGCCAGGTATGCTGTTGTTACAGGGGCAAACAAGGGGATTGGACTGGAAATATGTAGGCAGTTGGCCTCCAAAGGGGTCATGGTGGTCTTAACTGCTAGAGATGAGAAGAGGGGTCTTGAGGCTCTTGAAAAGCTGAAAGACTCTGGTCTCTCTGATCATCTAGTTTTTCATCAGCTTGACGTGGCAGACCCTGCTAGCATCACTTGCCTGGCTGATTTTGTGAAAAACAGATTTGGGAAGCTTGATATCTTGGTATCAACTTATGTCACGTAGCCAATTACCTACATTTTTATACTATGTATTTCTTTTCTTTTTTTTTATAAATATAAGATGGCAGATTCTCAAACTTGCAATAAGGGAAACATCCAAAATATAATACTATGTGAGTGGAGTACCAAAAATAAATACTATATGTGAGTGGAATGTTTGAGCTTTTGCAGGTGAATAACGCTGGTATAGGGGGAACTACAGTGAACTATGATGCTTTAAGAGCTTCAAGTCTTTCTGCTACTGAGGTAATTAAACTATCAGGAAAGAATTTTTGTTTCTCTTTGCCACTTCCTATTTGTTAATTACTTTGGGGCCTCCTTTGAAAAGACAGGGAATGAGGACTTCACAATTATGTTACTTTGATTTCTCAGTTGCAAAAATGGCAAAAAAAAAGGGGTGCTAGCAATTGTTAAAACCTTTTCTTAGTTCCTGGCATAACCATTTGACGTTTAGGGTTAAGTGGCAAGTCTGTTCGCCCTATGATTTGAAGTGTGCTGGAAATTAGTCTTCAGTCTAAACAACTAACCGCATTTAAAAACTGTGGGTGTTAGTTAAAATTTTACTATGCAAGTATACTTATCGAACAGATAGTATATTAGTAAGTAGAGTATCAATCTCACAGGAAATTGATCTAAAATTTTACTAAGTACTAAAATTAGAACAATTTAGTTTTATTCAAATAATTAAAATCTGAATTCTAATTGAACTAAAAATTACTCAACTAAAATTAATTTAATTAAAAAATTAAAACAACAAGATAATTGGGCAAATAGCAAATCAAACAAGCCTAGGATTACAATATCCCTTACACTTCATCTAAATCTTATCTCTCTTTCTTAACTTATTTCAATGGGTTGAATTGCTAACCTAGAGTCCTAAAGTATTTATAAAGGTCTCCCGACTTATCTTATAAAAATATCTATTTTAACTAAAGCACTATATTCCTATGTGAATTAAAATTAAAACAGACTCATTAAATTTAAGCTCTAATCTGGCTACATATGGTCTATAGGTATATCCTTATCCTATACGCAAATCAAGTAATATGATCATATGCTATCCCAATTTTAGTTTACACTAAACTCCCTTTTCCAAGTATGTTTAGGTTCCTAAATCAATTTAATTGGTGGCCAAACAATTAAAAGCATTAAGAACAAATTAGAATAAACAATTCAAATCTCATTGAAAATAAACAAGAAAGAGATTAAAAATTTAAATTACATGTGAACTCAATTGCAATCCTAGAAAAATAATTTAGCTTATAATATCTGATAAAGACAACATCAAAAGAAATTTAGCCATGAATCCAAGTCAAAGAAAATAAGAAAAACACAAAGGTAAGAGAAAAAACTAATAGTTAGAGCTTTGTGATCTTGATTCTCCCTCCAATTCTCTTGTTTTCTTGCTTTTTTCTTGGTTTCAAATCTTCAGAATAGTTGCTTGCTACCTCCCCCTCAAAATCTCTTAAAAAAGTTCCTTAAATATGTTCCAAATAACCTAATTTCTAAAGTCCCGTCAACTTCTTTTATTTTTGGAAAGTCACCCAGCGCTGCGGCGCTACTTCTTCAGCGCTACAGCACTGAACTCTCTGGAAAATTTTTGTCTGCTTCCTTTCATCAACGCTGCAGCCTTGTTCTCCCAATACTGTAGCAGTCTATCAACTTCAAACGTGAGTTTTACCCTTACATGTTCCGAACTTGGCAAAGTAGAAAACATAAAACTTTTAGCCCTGTATCTTAACTTTCAAATGGTTCAAGAATCATATCAATTAGACTTCTGGATTGAAAAATATGCTCCAAGAATCACATCATATTCAGTTCATGTGTACTGCTGCAGTACTCCGAATTTGACAAATATTTTGACCATGATGCGTTCAGAACTGGGTTAATTGATAAGAATAAACATTGTAACCCTTCTTCTTAGAACTCTACTGGTCTAAGAATCGCCTCATTTGTTGTTGTTTAGGAAGAGATATGGTCAAAACACCGAAACATATACGAATGAAGTCATCACCATATTTGCACTGATTTTCATCAAATGAGCCTTTTTCATCAATTTCCTACAAAAGCCATAAGAGAAATTAGCAATAACTACTCTTAAAGTAATTTAAAACAAAACAACATAAAATTTAACTAAAATAACTTAAATTAATTACTTAACAAATAATCAAACTTAAACTAGAAAAACACCTAAAACGCTAAAATTCGAACTTAAAATTTCAAAGATCTAGCTACTTAAGCCCTAAAAATATGTCAAAATAACTTTATATAATAAAGTTATCAGTGGGTCAGACCTGTTTTGTTATAAAATTTGAATGGATGCGAGGCAGCAGTTTACTTTTAGGTTTGGGATTGTGTTAATCTGTCTTCCAGGATATCTTGCTCCTTGAGTTTCTCCTACATATGCAGAAAGATCTAACAACCGTTTGGAGTAAAGTATTGTCTCAAACTTTCGAGGCAGGAGAAGAATGTCTGAAAACAAACTACTATGGCGCTAAAAGAACAGCTGAGGCGCTTCTTCCCTTACTCCAGTTATCTAACTCTCCAAGGATTGTTAATGTTTCCTCTCTCTTGGGCAAGTTAAAGGTACTATTTGACTCCAACACTTAACAGAAAAAATTCTAGTCGTCCTGGTAAAAAAAAAAAATTTACCAGTCCAGCTTGCTAATGAGAACTGTCAGGATTAAACCTTACGAAAACTGACCACAAAGTTTCTTGTGAGTTTGTCTCAGAATATACTGAGTGAACAGCTCAAGGGAGTATTAAGGGATGTTGATACAGAAGAGAAACTCGATGAGTTCCTTTCTGAGTTTCTAAAGGATTTTAAGGAGGGTTCATTAGAAAGTAAAGGTTGGCCAACTTTCTGCTCTGCGTACACGGTCTCAAAAGTAGCCATGAATGCTTACACAAGGATTCTAGCCAAGAGGTACCCAAAATTTAGCATCAATTGTGTTTGCCCTGGCTTTGTCAAAACAGATATAAATTTCAATACTGGTAATTTAAGTGTTGAAGAAGGTGCTGCGACTCCTGTTCAGTTAGCACTCTGGCCGAATGGTGGTCCTTCTGGCTTCTTTTTCATGCAGGGTGAACCAGCATCCTATGAATGAGATTATTGATAAAAATAATGAAATCTCATCAGAGAGGTGAAACTAGTACATGAGGACTTTGTACACGTTCTGTCATTACCAAGTACAATAAGAATGCTTTTAAAATCCAAATGATGTAATTTTCTTAGCCAAACTTAACTCTCATGTATGGAGAAATATTCTACAAAAAGTTAAATAAGATCTGTTTGTAAGATATCTATATTTCTATATTTGTCATGTTCACTGGTTCAGTAATTTTTTGGATTTAAGCCATAAGACTCTTAAAAGCTCAAGCTCAAATTATTAATAATAATGGACTCGGATTGTTTTATAAGTTTTAACAATCGTATTGACATTTGATTTAAGATGTCAGTATCATAATCTCACATACTCAAATCCTTAATATGGACATCAAGCAAAATTTATATTCCAAATTCATGGGAATGTTTTCCCATCCAAACTAGCTTTAAGTATACCCCATAATTTGTTCTATTTTTAAAAGTTATTAACAATTTGCCTACTCAAAGGAATTGCTAACAAAGTAAAAATCCTTTTTGGATGCAGCCAGCTGGGGATCAAGTCTGGAATGAGATTATTACTACATAAAGTTATGAGCTAGCAGAAGAATACCTGAAAATGAACTATTATGGTATGAAAAGAGTGGTTGAGGCACTTGCTCCTTTCGTCCGGCTATCTGATTCCGCGAGGATTGTAAATGTTACCTTTTATCTCGGAGTACCGCAGGTAAAGAACCTTGAGAAGTAGAAGTTTTAGTATCCTGAAGAGACAATGGATCTAGTTGGAAAACCATCTGTGTCTTTGTCTTGGTCTTGAAATAGGTTTAGTCACATAAAAAGTACTGAAGTAGATGACTTAAAGTTGAAAATGGATAAAACACAGTGACATCCCATTCAGTCCATGTTCTTTCCTTTTTCATTAAAACTAAGTTTCAGCATTGCTCTGCTAATTGTCTTAGCTCTAAACATTTATAAATGATTACTTGTTTTGACTTTTGAGCAGAAGTTTTCGTTCTTTTTTGTTTTTTGTCTTGTCGGTTCAGCTTATGTCCAATGAATGGGCCAAGGGAGTGTTGAGCGATGTCGAAAGCCTCACAGAAGAGAGAGGTGAAGAAGTTTTGAACGAGTTTCTAAAAGATTTCAAAGAAGGAAGGATGAAATCCAAAGGTTAGCACAAGAAACATGAAGTCACCATGTCCCTTTCTTGGGGTCCACACTTTTCATATGGTGGAGAAAATTAAAGAAAAATACAACCTTTAATAAAAGCTGAAGCAACCCAAGTTAGCGTCTCTTTGTTCCGTATCAACTGAAGCAATTCCTTCGTCAAGGCAGAGTCCTTTCAAAGGTAGATTTTTCATTCATGGTGATTTTGTATTAGTCAAATAGTTAAGTCTAAAGCTAGAACACCTTTTTGCTTTTGTTATGTTTTGTGTTTTTTTTTCCTGCCAGGTATACTATTGTTACAGGGGGAAACAAGAGGATTGGACTGGAAATATGTAGGCAGTTAGCCTCCAAAGGGGTCATGGTGGTCTTAACTGCTAGGGATGAGAAGAAGGGTCTTGAGGCTTTTGAAAAGCTGAAAGACTTTGGTCTCTTTGATCATCTAGTTTTCCATCAGCTTGACGTGGCAGACCCTGCTAGCATCACTTGCCTAGCTGATTTTGTGAAAAACAGATTTGGGAAGCTTGATGTCTTGGTATCAACTTATGTCACGTAGCCAGTTACCTGCATTTTTGTACTATGTATTTCTTTTTTATTATTATTTTATAAATATAAGATGGCAAATTCTCAAACTTGCAATAAGGAAAATATCCAAAATATAATACTATATGAGTGGAGTACCAAAAATAAATACTATATGTGACTGGAATGTTTGAGCTTCTGCAGGTGAATAACGCTGGTATAAGGGCAACTACAATGAACTATGATGCTTTAAGAGCTTCAAGTCTTTTTACTACTGAGGTAATTAAACTATAAGGAAAGAATTTTTGTTTCTCTTTGCCACTTCCTATTTGTTAATTACTTTGGGGCCTCCTTTGAAATGACAGGGAATGAGGACTTCACAATTATGTTACTCTGATTTCTCAGTTGCAAAAATGGCAAAAAAAAAAAAACAAAGGTGTTAGCAATTGTTAAAACCTTTTCTTAGTTCCTGGCATAACCATTTGACATTTCGTGTTAAGTGGCAAGTCTGTTCGCCCCATGATCTGAAGTGTGCTTTAGATTAGTCTTCAGTTTGAACAACTAACCTTTTAAGATATTTAGCCAGAAGAGATCAGGCAATTAAAAACTATTTTGTTATAAATTTTGAATGGATGCAAGGCAGCAGTTTACTTTAAGGTTTGGGATTGTGTTAATATGTCTTCCAGGATACCTTTCTACTTGAGTTTCTCCTACAAATTCAGAAAGATCTAACAACCGTTTGGAGTGAAGTGCTGTCTCAAACTTACGAGGCAGGAGAAGAATGCCTGAAATCAAACTACTATGGTGCTAAAAGAACAGCTGAGGCATTTCTTCCCTTACTCCAGTTATCTAACTCTCCAAGGATTGTTAATGTTTCCTCTCTCTTGGGCAAGTTAAAGGTACTATTTTGACACCAACACTTAATAGCAAAATTCCAGTCATCCTGGTAAAAAAAAAAAAAGTACCAGTCCAGCTTGCTAATGAGAACTGTCAGGATTAAACCTTACAAAAACTGACCACAAAGTTTCTTGTGATTTTGTCTCAGAATATACCGAGTGAACAACTCAAGGGAGTATTAAGGGATGTTGATACAGAAGAGAAACTTGATGAGTTACTCTCTGAGTTTCTAAAGGATTTTAAGGAGGGTTCATTAGAATGTAAAGGTTGGCCAACTTTCTGTTCTGCGTACACGGTCTCAAAAGTAGCCATGAATACTTACACAAGGATTCTAGCCAAGAGGTATCCAAAATTCAGCATTAATTGTGTTTGCCCTGGCTTTGTCAAAACAGATTTAAGTTTCAGTACTGGTAAGTTAACTGTTGAAGAAGGTGAGGCAACTCCTGTTAAGTTAGCACTCTGGCCTAATGGTGGTCCTTCTGGCCTCTTTTTCATGGAGGGTGAACCAGCATCCTATGAATGAGATTATTGACAAAAATAGCGAAATCTCATTAGAGAGGTGAAACTAGTACATGAGGACTTTGTTCACTTTCTTTCATCATCAAGTACAATAAGAAAGCTTTAAAAATCCAAATGATGCAATTTTCTTTACCAAACTTGATTCCCATGTATGTAGAAATATTCTACAAAAATTTATAAGATAAGGTCTATATTTGTCATGTTCTCCATTCTGTGATGATTTGAAAACTGGAAGTTTAGGTGAAAAATTAGCTAGGTCAATAGATCAAGCAAAAGGCTAAGCAGCAGGATGTTGTTGATTCCATTTTCTTATGTGCAATCAGGTCTTACTTTGATAAGCAAGAATGCAACAAGCTGGCCAATTAAACATTGTTGAGAAAAAAAAATGTCATATGAAACATACCTTCTCCCAATTATTAAAATAATATGGAGTTCTTAATTATTTAATAAATTGTTATAAAGTATAAGTCCAAATATGTTGGAGACTCCTCCAATCTACTTTAATTTGTAGTGAATCAAACAGCTAAAGCAAAAGCACAAGCAACATAAAGTTACCACGTCTGTTTCTGTTTGCAAATGGTGTCCCGCATGCATAAGCGAAGAAAATGAAAGAAACTATAAATAGAGAATTCTGAAACGACATCAAAACATTAAGTAATTTGTTTTCAGAATGAAACCAAGTGATTACAAATTTTTTCTATTGTGTTCATCAGTGCAACTATTGGCCAGGCAAAAGAGATAGGGTCTTTAAGAAAACTTGAAGCAACCTTGTTAACTTTTTTTTGTTACACACTTGCTAATCATGGCGGAGTCCATGCACAGGTAGCAATTTTCTTTCATGGAGGTTCTCTATTTGCCATACAGTAACATGCCTTTCTGGTTGCTAAGTTCTTTTCCTTCTGTCAGGTATGCAGTTGTGACAGGGGAAAACAAGGGTATTGGACTTGAGATATGTAAGCAGTTAGCCTGTAAAGGGATCACGGTGGTGTTAACTACTAGAGATGAGAAAAGAGGTCTTGAGGCTCTTGAAAATCTGAAACACTGTGGTCTCTTGGATCATCTAGTTTTCCACCAGCTTGATGTAGCCGACCCTGCAAGCATCGCTTCTCTTGGCAGATTTTGTGAAGAAACTATTTGGCAAGCTTCATATCTTGGTATCAACATACATACCATACCATATTGCCAGAATCCTGCTTTTTTTTATACATTTATTTCTTTTCTTGAGTTTGGGTGATGAAAGAGATTCTCTTAATAAACAATGACTCTTTCCCTGCCCATAATTCCAGGAAATAAAACCTACTAAGTAAAATTTTTTTATTTTTTGAGACTACAATTTGACCTCCTACAGGTGAACAACGCCGGGGTAAGAGGAGTAAACATTGATGCTTGATAACTCTATTATATAGAGTTTTTTTGACACATTTTGAGCGCTTAAGTCGCTAGATCTTTGAGATTTTAGGTTGAAATTTTAGCATTTTAAGTGCTTTTTTAGTTTAAGTTTTGATTACTTTTTAAGTGATTAATTTAAGTTATTTTAGTTAAATTTTATGTTGTTTTGTTTTAAATTCTTTAAGACTAGTTATTGCTAATTTCTCTTATGGCTTTTGTGGGAAATTGATGAAAAAGGCTAATTTGATGAAAATTAGTTCAAGTATAACGATGACTTCGTTCATATATATTTTGGTATTTTGACCATATCTCTCTCTAAACAACTCCAAATGAGGTGTGTTGGTCCCCAAATAAATGTGCTAGAGGGGGGTGAATAGCACTTTTTGGCTCTTACAAGATTTGACCTCTATTTGGGGGCAAGTTTAAGTTCAATGATGGGAAGTTAAATGCATGATAAGGAATAATCTAACAAGGAATGAAATGAAAAACAAAGCAGGGAAGATAATACACAAAGATTTATAGTGATTCGATCAAAGACGTACATCCACTACCTTGATTGTTCAACCAAGGATTTTTCAAACCAATTCACTATAAACGGTGAAATTCCCAAGCTTTTACCAAGCTTTTACAATGGCTTTTAACAGGTTCAGCCACAACCTTCAACAAAGGTTTTCTTCAGGATCAACCAAAACTCAAAAACTAACTTTTCTAGGCTTAGTTAGAACCTTTGCACTCAATTAATCCCCTTAGAGTGTCTTGCACACTCTAAGCAATCAAGGAGAAGAGAAATAAAGAGGTACCTAAGATCACTAACCTGATCTGATGGTACAAGATGAAGTTTTTAACTCTGTTACAAAGATTGGAGTGAAGTGCAGAAAGTATGCGGAGTGTTTTTGAGTTTTTTGAGCTATTTTAGATCTTGGAAGTCTTCAAATCTGATTCTTGGCTGTTGGGAGGGCTTTTTATACTTGAAAAATCAACTCTAATGGTAGCTAGACAGATTTTGACCATTGGAAACAGTTTGAGAGCAATTCTGACCTTTATTTTATTTTTTAGCGTTCAGTTCAAACTGTCAGACAGAGTGCTCTTAGTTGACTAATCGTTATCACTTAGTCGACTAAGTCGTCTCTGTCTCTAAACCCAGTTTTTGACAATAGGCTCCGTCTTTGAGCGTTGCTGGTAGTAGCCTCTTAGTCGACTAACAAAACTTCTTAGTCGATTAAATCGTTTCTGTCTTTAAACCCAGTTTCTGGCAATAAGCTCTTAGTCGACTAACTTTGTCTCTTGGTCGACTAAGTGTTCTCTGTTTCACGATTTGCTTGAACCCGCCAGCCTCTCTTTTGAGTTTTATCCAATCAACTCCCTTGATTATTTAACTTAGAGGCTTCTCATTTTATTGCTCACTTATAGCTCCTTATTCTTATAAGTTTTGATATTGTCTTTTGAATGATCAACTAATTATTAAATATATTTATCCTGCACACTCAAGTAGAAAGGTTAGACATAGATAAATAGGAATGTTTTATTATCATAAAAAACTAATGAAGCCAACAAGGTGATTCTTGGACCACTAGAATCCTAAGAAGAAGGGCTACAATGTTGATTTTTATCAATTCACCCAGTTCTGATTGGATCATGGTCAAAATATTTGTCAAAGTCGGAGCACTACAGCAGTATGTAAGGACTGAATATAATGCGGTATTTAGAGCATATCTTTTAATCCATAAGTTCAATTGATGTGATTCTTAATCTATTGAAAAGTTAAGAGACAGGGCTAAAACTTTTATGTTTACTACTTTGCCCAGTTCAGAACATGT